GCTGCAAAAAAAAAAAAAAAAAAGGAAACTTTTTCCTGTTCGTGAGAATGGTGTGGTGAGCCTTACCGCCGCATTTTCCCTGGCAGAATCACAAATCCAAGAAAACCTATAAAGCCTTCCAAGCATGGTTACGCCAGGACCGTACGCCGGACTAGTCCAGACGTCCGGCTGGACCTGTGTCTGGACTGCTTGAAACTGTCGGGCTTGAACTCAACCCCCCCCCCACCCCACCCCCCACCCGGATTTGGCTATGGATTTTGAGATCGTCCTCAGCCAAAAGATTTTTGTATTGCAGTGCTGCATAGCATATCATTTTTTTTCAAGATTTTTTTGACTTTCTTTCTTATGTCGGCTTTTTGTTTGGGGTGGGGGGTAGGGGGATGAATCCGGGCACTCTAGACCGGATACCAGACCCGCCCAGACATCCAGATCCAGACCGTCTGCGCTGTGGTCTGGTTGTCCCGTTCGTAGCCCCCCAAATTCTGGGTTCCAAGTCCAAAATACTGGTTCCAAGTTCCAAGTTCCAAAAAACTGGTTCCAAGTTCCAAGTTCCAAAAAACTGGTTCCAAGTTCCAAGTTCCCAAAAACTGCAAAGACTTCAAGCCCCCCCCAAATTCTGTGTACACTGTGGCCAATGGCAAACGCCTTGGAACAACTCGGTCGATCTTCGAAATCGTGTCGTCATTGAAGAGGATTATACCCCCGAACATCTGTGTTTGCGGCAATTTCCAGAAAACTGTGTGGTCCAGAAAAGTGTGTTCTGAATATCTGTACTGTATAAAGTGCCGAAGGCTTTACGTATATATCGTCACAAACAGAACTGCCCGGTAAAACCGTAGGCAGAGAGAGAGAAGAGGACAACAAACGAGGGGCTGTGACAAACTGTTTATCGTCACAAACAGAACTGCCCGGTAAACCGTAGGCAGAGAGAGAGAAGAGGACAACAAACGAGGGGCTGTGACAAACTGTTTCGTCGGAGTTTATACATATTTGGGTTCGTCCAGTATTTCCACAAGCCTGGTAAAGTTCTGAAACTACCGATAACCGCAAAAGCTTTTGAGTTCTTGAACCCCCCACAGGACCCAAATGCCACCCCCAAAAATTCACCCCCCCCCCCCCCCCCCCCGAACACACACACAAACACACAGAAATCAAGTCGTCATTGAAGAGGATTATACCCCCGAACATTTGTGTTCGCAGCAATTTCTGGAAAACTGTGTGGTCCAGAAAAGTGTGTTCTGAATGTCCGTAGTATCCGTACTGTATAAAGGGCCAAAGGCTTTCTGTATTTAATATTTGTATATAATTGGGATCGTAAATTCGTGCAGTATTTCCACAAGCCTGGTAAATTCTGAAACTGCCGTTAATTGCAAAAGCTGAGTCCTTGAACCCCCCAAAGTACCCAAATGCCACCCCCCAAAAATTATCCCCCCTCCCCCCCCCCCCCCCCCCAACACACACACACACACACACAACATGTGATGCCCCCCAACCCCCAAATGTGCCCCCCAAAGACTGGCAAAGTATTCAGGCTGCAAATGCTTTAGACTGCGAACGCACACAGTTTGCAATCCTCCGCCATCCAAAAAAAAAGAACAAAATAAAAAACTTGCAAACGCCAAATGGTCCAGATGTTACGCCTGTTCTCAAAAGATGAAATAGGTCCCAAAAAATTCACTTTCTGAAAGTGGGGAAAAAAACTTGAAAATAAAAAAACAACTTAAAAAACTTAAAAAATAATGAAAATTAAAAATTCCAAAGGTTGCAGTTCTCTCTGAGAGAAGGCTTGACACCTGAAAAACGCGCCATGAATTCTGCATCGAAACTTCCATCGAAAGTACGATGAATTCTCATCCGAAAGTGCCACGAATTCCGGACTTCCTCGTTATTCCAAAAGTCGGGAGGCCTCTCAAAACTTTTATTCGGGGGAAAAAAAGGGCTCTCGATGTCCCTTAATCCTGATGATATCTTCGCAAGCCTTTTTCCAAAGAGGACTCACGAATTGTGGAACTCCCAAATGTCCCAAATGTCCCAAAGGTCCCACATATCTGAAATGTCCCAAATGTCCGCAATATCCGAAAAGGCACGCAGCGTTCAGACCCTCATCGCCAAGACAGAAAAAAAAAAAAAACATCTTATGCTCAGATAGGTCATTACACGTCTGTACCTGGCCCACAAAACTCCACCTGATACAGGTGTAACGACCGTGTTCTATTCAGTGAGAAATCGCAGCGTCGGCTTCCAGTCAAAACCACCATTTGTGGGGCGGGCATCGCGAATTTCGCAGCTGTGCAAATGCACCAGCCTGCCTGTGGTGGGTTGGAGTGTTCCACTTGACGAGGGAAAAAAAGGTCCCACTACCTCCCCCGGTAAAAGTCACCTTCAGTGGAAGGGTAGCCCAAATTTTCATGCTGCAAACCCCTTCAAGGACCCCTTCTTAACTGAAAAAAGCTTGAAGCTAAAGCTCCTCCATCAGCCCCCAGCTGTCACTACAAATGACCCCAAAGCGCCCCCAAATTCCCCCCCAAATGGCCCCCCGAAATGCCCGTCTAATGTCCCCGAAATGCCCGCCTAATGTCCCCGAAATGCCCCTGAAATGCCCCCCCCCCAAATTACCCCCCCAAATTACCCCCCAAATGCCCCCCCAATGACCCCCCAAAGCCCCAAAGCTTCACAACTGACCTCGCACCCATGCAAGAAAGGTCCCATTCGACTTACCCCTCGTTAAATACTGGGGGTGTAAATCCAGAACCCCCCCCTCTCAAACCCAACTATAGCATGCTCAGAAAAAAACAGACCCTTCTCTAATCCTCATGTGCGATGCTTCTTGCCAGCGTAAGCTGTCATAAGGACAACCCTCCACTGTCGTCTGATGAAATATTATTAGTCTTAAAGACTTGAAGTCAAAATTTGGTGATTTTTCTTTTCCTCGAAAGAAAAGAAAAGAAAAAAAGAAGAAAAAAAAAGAGGAAAAAAAAAGAGGAGGAGAAAAAAAAAAGAGAAAAAAAAAGAAGGAAAAACGGAGGGAAAAAAAAAAGAAAAAGGATTGGACTCATAGGAGGCTTTTGGAGCACTACGCGCTATGATGCTTCAACAGGCTACCACCTACCACCTGCCACAAATCAGTCTACGGTAGCAGATACGCCTCTTTCTGCCTGCAATCACAGTACCCCCCCCCCCCAAAAAAAAAAAAAAAAAAAAAAAAAAAAAAAACCATACCATGTTCATGCCAACTATTCTTCATAGTATTCTACTCTATTATACTCTTTCCCGCCTGATATGTTTGCACTATATGCCTTCTGCATCCATGTTTTCACTATGATGTGCCTTGTGCCTCCATCCATGTTCACAATTTTTTCACACTGTGTCCATGCTATGTTGGCACTGTGTTCCTGCTGTGCCTATGCCTATCTTATGCTATGTCCATGCTATATATTCCTGCGATGTGTCCCTCTGTGTGTACCGTGCACTGTACATGTCGACAGCTTCGTACTATGTTCATACTATGTTCATACTATGTTCATACTAGCTTCATACTAGATTCATACTAGATTCCTTCATACTATATCCATCGCAAGCTTTTTCACGCTAAGCCTTCCCAATTCATGTATCGAATGCTTCTTCTACTCCACTTCCTCTGCTCATTTGCTAGTGCCCGACGCTGATACGCTGTTCATGCTATGTTCATTGCTATGTTCATTGCTATGTTCATGCTATGTTCATGCTATGTTCATGCTATGTTCATCCTGTGTGCAGACTATATAAACAGCAATTTTGTGAAAAAAAGGACATTTTTTAAAAAACATTTTGAGCGAAATCAGACCTAGTAATGTAGCCCAATTGAGGTCAAAATTTGTAGCTCTTGAGGGTCCATAGTTCTTGAAATGCCGGAGTAAGTGGATGTATCTGGACTTACCTGGAGTCCAGGGGGTCCAACGTTTTAAGAACGCCAGACCCCCTAGATGTATCTGGACTTAGCTGGAGTCCAGGCTAGGGCGTTCCGAGAACGGTGGACCCTCAATTTCGTCAAAATTTTGACCTGAATCGGGCCCCACTTTAGTCGGCTTCAATTTCGTTCAAAAAAAAAAAAAGATCGCGAAGATGTCCATTTTGACGAAATTGCTGTTCTATGCCTCTTCATGCTAAGTGTCACAACAGTCATATTATGTTCATGCTATGTTCATGCTATGTTCATGCTATGTTCATGCTATGTTCATGCTATGTTCATGCTATGCTATGAACATAGGATGAGCATAGCATGAACATAGGAGGGACATCAAAAAAAAATGCCCTTTTGCCAGCTTTTGGGCTATATTCATGCTAAGTGTCAGAGCCATGACCAATTCTTGTCTCCAATGACGTTGATCCAGATTGTCGAACTATGTGACCCCTATGTCTATGCTATGTTCATCTTAAGATTGATGCTATATTATTGATGCTATATTGATGCTAAGCGTCAGAGCCATGACCAATTCTTGTCACCGATAACGTTGAACCAGATTGTCGTACCAAGAGAGAGGTGCCAGAGGTCCTCGACAAGCGATTCGATGCAGAATTCCTCGGAGGGATCTTTGCTGGACGTACCTCGACGGCGTTTTGAGCCCAAGCGTTGCGCAAACGATTTGCCTAAATGTTTTCTTGCCCGCGCCTCGGCAGCCTGCTCAACAGTCATTGACTCGTCGAGACCCCAGGACTGCAGCAAAGCTGGCAGCTTGCCTTCTTCGGATGCCGGCTCGATCAAATGCACGACTTCCCAAGCGATTCGTAGCCATCGCTGCAGCTTGACCCTCCATTGAACGCACTCACGCCAGAGAGACGACCCTCGTTTCTTATCGCCGCCGCCTATGTCTACATACACGTCGGCGAGGAGTGCCCGGGTCATTTCCCTGATGAACACTCCTACCCTCTTGAGCTTTCCTTTAAGGAAACTGTAGCTGCTTTGCTTTCGACTTATTCTGTTTCTTCGCTGCATATGATCGGATCCGTCGCTGAAGCTCGTCGCGGAGGTGACGACGGAGGAATTGAACCCTCGCCTTTTGCCGAAGTAGAAACCTCGGGCATCCGGCGAATCGCTGCCATAACCATCATGGCCTCGTACGGACACGTGCTGACGACCATAGGTCGAGTCCGAATGGCAATAGCTCGGTATCACCGGGCTCTTAGGACCATTAGCCCTGCTGTCAAACCTGTAGGTATGGGAATCCTCCTCGTCCATCCGGAAGTTCGATTTCGTCGATAAGTCGCAGGATGAGGTCCAAGACGCAGAAAACGATTGCGACGCCGCAGAGAAGGACTGCAAACTGGACCTCGAGCTTCTCGCAGCTTCGTCTGTTTTCGAAATCGAACTGGGAGGCCGAGAAGACGCGCCGCTGGAGAAGAAGTCCGCCGCGGCCCTCTTCGTACCATCCCTTCTTGAACTCTTCTGTGCCCGTTGCCCAAATGACTGCGAACTCGACCTCGAGGTCCGTCCACGATCGTCCGTTTTCGAAATGGACATCGACATCGCACTCGACTGCAGAGAAGATGCACTGCTGGACAAGTTTGTTTTTTCCCTCTTCTTACCACCCCTTGCCTGTTCCCTGGATGACCCTACCCTGTGTGCCATATCCTCCTTCCCATTCCTCTCCTTCCTCTCCTTCCTCTTCCCCTCTCTCTCCCACCAACTTTCACCTTCATCTTCTCCTCTTTTGCTTCTGCGATTCGACTCCATGGAGTCGGTTTGGCATTCCTTGTCCCCATGCCATTTGTCCTCAAATTTGCACACCTGCCTGTGTAGACGTCGAACCTTTTCGGGGAGCCGCTTGCTGATACGGAGATCCCTGAACGACATATACGCCAGAGCCTCCATAGCCATGAGGATGCTTCGAGCGCCAACGAGGAATACCCTTCCGATGGACTCACTGTGGAGCAGAGCAACTCGGAGGAACTCTGACGCAGAACAAACACCGAAACGCACAATACCCGTCAACAAACAGTTGAAAAAAAGAAAAAGAGTGGAGTGGCATCCTCCACTTCAAAAAAAATTCCCAACAGAAAGGCCTCCATCCACTGCACAACATTGTACATGTATCTGGAGATGGTGGTGGTCCCAATACATTCAGAATTTTGGATCACTCTGAGTGTATCTGGAGCAACAAACAGTCAAGATACCTGTCGAGCGTGGAGTAGTGGAGCGAAGCCCAAAGAGTCACCATGCAACATACCACCAGTATGCACCACCAACACCTCAAATAGTACCCGAAGCTAGGCTACCAGCCGGGCCGCCCGGGTCCCCGGTGGCCAGCCCGTGCAAGGACCAGGGAAGGTCCCAGAAAAAAAAAAATAAAAAAAAAATCCAAAAAATGATAAAATCCGAAAAAAAAAAAAATGTTATGCAGAAAAATAAACTGAACAACTTTTGCCTCAGGGTCACATCGAAATTCTTCACCAAATGTAGAATAAAAAAATACATACATACTTTTTTATAATTATTTTAATTTTTTTGGCCCGGCCGGGCAAGTGACCCCGGGCCACTCTGTTAGCCTAGACCCGAAGAGGAAAAAGGGTCTAAAAACAACAAAGAAAACAGAAAATCGAAAAAAAGTTTTAAAAACCGGGAAAAAAGGAAAAGAAAAGAGAAAAAAAAAAAGAAGGGGAAATTTGCAAAATGTCGCCTGAAAAGGTCACGTATATGCCAGAATAGCCCTAAAATGTGGCTAGACTGTAATACCCCTCTGAAACTTCCAAAACTTCATGAAATGCCCTTTTGGGTTTAAGTCTGTGCATTATACCCGTGGGCCCGGGACCCACTTCCATCGTTTCACAACGGGGGGCCCGTGTGTACAACCACGTGTGGCGGTTGGTGACCTATGGAGTGTTTTTTTTTTTTTTTTTTTTTTGACCTATGGAGTGTTACAGGGATGGGGAATAAGTCCGAATAACATCTCTCCACGCCGCCACGGCCATGCATACAAGATTTGAAAAATTTCTGCCCTGCCACCTGCCTGCCCTTTGCGTTTTCCTGTTGCCTTCTTTGCCTTGCTGTTCGTGTTTACACATTCCTGCCCATCTAGTCGTAACAGGGGTTGAAGAAGATTATGAACAAAAAATTTCAAATTTCAAACATCAATATGGGGATGACTCCCTAGCCTCTTGAGGAATCGGCGAGAGCCGACAAAAAAAGCCTGTAGCTAATATCCCTTGCTTTTTGCTTTTTGTGTGTTCCTTTGCCTTGCTTTGTGACATTCCTTGTCTGTTTCTCCTCCTGGTGTTTATATAATTGTTGTTGTGGTTTGCAAAACCTTTTGGAATGAACAGTTGGTGGGAAACAGAGTTGTGAGGAGCCATTTGCTCAACTTATCGCACCAACCAACTCTCTCTCTCTCTCTCTCTCACACACACACATACACACACACACACACACACACACACACACACACACACATTGTTTTCTAGGAGGCAAGATCGAGAACGAGCAGCCTTGTGTGTGTGTGTGTGTGTGTGTGTGTGTGTGTGTGTGTGTGTGTGTGTGTGTGTGTGTGTGTGTGTGTG